CCCCCTCTGGATGGATGACCCAGAGCAGAAGTGGCACTGGTGGAGGCTCCTCCAGCCCTGGCTGGCGTGTGCTGTCTCCCTTCTCCTCTGCTCATTGGTAGGTGTCAGGTGGTCCTTGGAGAATTCTTGAAAGAAATTAAGAAGAACCCCTCCTCCAGTGTTAAGTTTGCTGAGATGGCCAGCCTCCTGGTGATCCACTGCCAGACCACAGGTGAGTGTGTCAAGGCCCCAAGGCCACCCCCCTCCTCAGAAGCACCTTCTGTCTCACCATCTGGGAGAGAGGCCTCGTTGGAGTGTGAATCAGAGTGACAAGGTTATCTTGGAGTGGTGGGTCCTTATGGGAGAGAATCTGGTTCTCTAACAAAACTGTAACTAACCAAAATCAGGAATTAAAAAATGGGGAACCTTATTATATATCCTAATTTACTGTTTATCTACCTATAGTAATATTAACAATGTCTGCTTGTGGCATACCTTTTTATTGTATAAATAATATATGATGCTCAGGTGTGTAATTTAGAAGGAAAAAGTGTTTCTCAATCCCTACACAATGAACATCACAAAACACGGTTGAAAAACTAGAGAATACTTACATAAATGGAAAGATATCCCAATTTCCAGTCAAGATGGTGGAGCGGCAGGACCACAAGCTTGCCTCTCCTCACAACTACAACAGAACCATAACTGACTGCTAAACAACCATCGAAAAATGAAAGACTGGAACCTAGCAAAAAAGATCTTCTTCAACTGGAAACATAAAGAGGGAACCACAGCAGGATGGTAGAAGGAGCATACTCGCAATATAATCAGGCCCCATAACCCCCAGGGTAGGCGACCCACAAGCTGAAGAATGATTAAGTCACGGAGGCCCTCCCACAGAAGTGAGAGTTCTGAGCCCCATGTCAGGCTCCCCAGCCTCAGGTTCTGGCATTGGGAGGAGGAGACCCCAGGACATCTGGTTTTGAAGGCCTGTGGGGCTTAACTCCAGTGGCCCCACAGGACTGGGGGAAACAGAGACTTCATTCTCTTGGGAAGCATACATAGAATCTGACATGCACCAGGTCCAGGGGCAGAGGCAGTGATTTCATAGGAATGTGGGCCATGCCTGTCTGCTGGTTTTGGAAGATCTCCTGGGGTCGTAGGGGACAGCTGCAACTCATCCAGGGAACATAAAAGGTGGTGGCAGTCATTTGATGTGTTGATTGGATCATTAGCACTATGACCTAGCCCCACCCAACTAACTGCCTGTAGGCTTCAGGGCTGGGAAGCCTCAGACCAAACAACATACTAGGTGGGAACACAGCCCCATCCATCAACAGACTTCCTGAGCTACAAACACCTCTAGATATGGCCCTCCCAGAGGTCCAGGACCAAGCTTCACCCAGCAGTGGGCAGGCACTGGCTACTCCTGCCAGGAAACCTGCATAAGCCTCTAGTCCAGCCCCACCCACCAGGAGCAGATACCAGAAATAAGAAAACAACAATCCCAAAGCCTGTGGAAGGAATCCACAAACACAGGCCAGACTCTACACTGGGACCAGCTGGACCCTGGCCCTTGGATGACAAGAGAGGAGTGCACTGCTGGGACGCATAGGACATCTCCCACACAGGGCCACCTCTCCAAGGTCAAGAAACATAACTAATCTACCTAGAAATACAAATAGAAAGATAGACAATATGAAGCAACAGAAGAATATCTCCGAAGCCAAGGCACAAGATAATCCCAGAAGAAATAAGTCAGGAGGAGATAGGCAATTTATCTGAGAAAGAGTTTAAAGTAATCATGGTAAAAATGTTCAGAGAACTCAAGAGGAATATAGATACACAAAGTAAAGTTTTTAGTAAAGAGTTGGAAAATATAAAGAATACCCAAACAGAGATGAAGAAGAAAATCACTGAAATGAATAACACACTAGAAGAGATCAAGAATAGACTAAATGAGGCAAAAGAATGTATCAGTGAGCTAGAAGACAGGTTACTGGAAATCAGTACTTCAGAACAGAAAAAAAGAATGAAAAGAAATGAGGATAGTTTAAGAGAACTCTGGGACAACATGAAGCACACTAATATTCACATTTTCAGGGTCCCAGAAAGAGAAGAGAGAAAGGACCTGAGAAAACTTTTGGAGAGATAATAACCAAAAACTTCCCCAACTTGGGAAAGGAAATAGTCACCCACATCCAGGAAGCACAGAGAGTACCACACAGGATCAACCCAAAGAGAAACACACCAAGGCACATAGTCATCAAATTGGCAAAAATTAAGGATAAGGAGAAAATACTAAAATTAGCAAGAGAAAAGTAACAAATAGCATGCAAGGGAAGTCCCATTTGGATTTTTCAGCAGAAACTCTACAGGCCAGAAGGGAGTGGCATGATATATTTAAAGTGATGAAAGGGAAAAACTTACAACCAAGAATACTCTATCCACCAATGCTCTCGTTCAGATTTGATGGAGAAATCAAAAGCTTCACAGATAAGTGCTAAAATAATTCAGCACCACCAAACCAGCTTTAAAACAAATGTTAAAGGAACTTCTCTAGTCATCAAACTGTAAGAAAAGAAAACAAAAAGAAGAAAGAGGGGGAAAAAAAAGACCTACAAAAGATTGCTTTGGCAGTTTGGAGTCTTTTATGGTTCCATATAAATTTTGGAATTGTTTGTTCTAGTTCTGTGAAGAAAGTCATGAGTATTTTGACTGGGGTTGCATTGAGTCTGTAGATCGCTTTGGGTAGTGTGGCCATTTGTTGATTCTTCCAATCCAAGAGCACAAGATATCTTTCCATTTCTTCATATCATCTTCAATTTCCTTCATCAATGTTTTACAGTTTTCAGAGTATAGGTAACCTCCTTGGTTAAGTTTTTTTCTAGGTATTTTGTTGTTTCTGATGCAATGGAAATGTTTATGCCAGTTATAAAATTCTTGTTTTTGAAGTGAAAAAAATGAATGAAGGGAAGCAAATGGCAAAATATTCTTCCTTCCTTATGGGTGAGTTGTATTTCATTACATATATATGCTGTATCTTCTCTATTCATTCATCTATTGATGCTTCCATATCTTGGCAATTATAAATAATGTTGCTGTTAATAGTGGAGTGTATGTATTTTTTAAATTAATTCTTATTTTGTGGTTGTCTTTATTCTTTGGATAACTGTGTAAGTTTAAAAAGCTAAAGCTCTAAACGTTCTTAGAAACAATGAATAGTACATATATGTAAATTTTTAAAATATGTGTAGTATATTGTATATATGTATTTACATGCAATATACTATATATGTGCAGTTAAATTGTAACAATTCTACCTAACAAAACTAAAAAATGAAAAAAAAACAGCAATTGTGAGGGGAGGAGAGTACAAATGCAGGGGTTTTTTAATGCATTTGAAATTAAGAGATAAGCAACTTAAAACAATCATAAATATAGACTGCTATAGCAAAACCTCATGGTAACCAGAAACCAAAAATCTGTAATAGATATATACACAAAAAAGAAAAAGGGATCCAAACATAACACTAAAGATAGTCATCAAATCATAAGAGAAGAGAATAAAAGAAGGGGAAAAAAGGAACTACAAGAACAATCTACAAACAATTAATAAAATGGCTATAAGAACATACATGTCGATAATTATTTTAAGTGTAAATGGAGTAAATGCTCCAATCAAAAGACTGAGAGTGGCTGAATGGATACAAAAATAACACCCACATATATGCTGCCTACAAAAGACTCCAGATCTAGAGATACATACATAATGAAAGCGAGGGGATGCCAAAAGGTATTTCATGCAAATGTAAATCAAAAGAAAGTCGGAGTAGCAATACTGATATCTGACAAAACAGACTTTAAAATAAAGAACATTAGAAAGACAAAGATGGACACTATCTAATGATCAAGAGATCAACCCAAGAAGAAGATATAACAATTGTAAATATATATGCACCCAACATAGGCACACCTCAATATATAAGACAGATGTTGACAGACATAAAAGGAGAAATTGACAAAAACACATAACAGTAGGGGACTATAACACCCAACTTACATCAATGGACAGATAATCCAGTCAGAAAATCAATAAGGAAACACTGGCCTTAAATGACACAGTAGACCAGATAGACTTAATTGATACATATAGAAAGCATTCTATCCAAAAGCAGCAGAATACACATCTTTTCAAGTGTACATGGAACATTCTCTAGGATAGATCAAATGCTAGGCCACAAAATAAGCCTCAGTAAATGTAAGAAAACTGAAATCATATGAAGCATCTTTTCCAACCAGAAACTATGAGACAAAATCAACTATAAGAGAAAAAAAACTGTAAAAAAAAAATACACACATAGAAGCTAAACAATGAGTCACTGAAGTAATCAAAGAGGAAATTTAAAAATACCTA